GCTGGGAACAACCAATACAAGCCTTTCCTTTCTCCTTTCTGCCCTGTTTGTTTTTGGTTTTTTGTCATTCACTCATTATAAACGGGATTCCTTTTACAGTGCTGGTACATCATTGTCTGGAAAACCATGATACCCTCTTTGGAGTCTAAAATGTATGCCTAGGTCTCTTGGCTTGAGCATCATGAGCTGCACCAGGGTTTCCCATAGAGAAGTCTTCATTCTAGATCGTGCCAGGATGTTGGCCTCTGAGGCTCCCTACTCAGACAACCACTTGTCCCCAGGATAACCTGGGTGTTAAACTAAGCAAGGCACTCTACTAGGTGATAGGGAATCTAAAATTACATTTTGAAATGCTGCCTAGAGATACGCAAATCTTCTTGTAGTTTCTCCTCGTGATGCTTCACGTAAAATAATTGGGTATTTTTCTCAAGTTCACTGAAATTCTACTCCTGCAGAAGCAAGGGAGTATAGGTTGGATTCACATAGTCAGTGAATATCCCATGTTGTTCTTTTCAAGTAAGCAGTGAGTAAGGATGACATAGAAGGGCCTAGATATTGACTTGAGTCTCTTCTTCCCCCCAAGATATATAGTCAATTCAACTTCTTTCTCTGTTCAACTCTGCAAACATAGGAAGATGTGTGAAATGAACAAAGTATGTGTATATAAGCGTGATGGGTAAAGAGTGTTGATGTTGAACCTGAAATGAAACTAAGGAAAGCATATGATGTGTGAAACATATGGCAATGCATATGTATGAAGTTTGGATCAGGATATGCATCACAAAATAGTAATAGGTTTTTATTCTGGGAGAAGAGTGATAAAGCAAAGGGGAATAAGAACCTCACACTAAAAACAAGAGAAGTTGGAATCTCCTTCCTCTTTGCTATTTGGCATTTCCTCTTGAGAGAAGCGGAGGAAGTATTTAAATATTTTATAACCTTCATTATTGGAACATACATCTCTTTATTACATTTTTGGAAGCATGTGTTCTATTTGAAATCAGTATGGATGTATAAATATTTTTAGGAGATGATTATTCTCTGTATGTAGGTGGAGAAGAACATCGAATTAGTGAGATCTTGCCTTCGTGAGTAACAGAGCAGCTGGCATTATCCCTCCTTTCCCTTCGCCTCCCTGGCCAAGGGAAAACACCTCTTATCCTCAACTTAAATTCCTAAAATAAAATAAGAAATGTTTTTGGCTTCCCTCTTTCTGTCTGCTTCTTCAGGTAATAAATTGCATCTGTGGTGTTTGCAATTCTTTCACCAGGCCATTGTGGACGTGTAGGCAAAGTGAAAAGGAATGGCAAGAAGCTATCACAGAAGTGAAGGAAGGTATGAGACACCTTTCAATCTACTTCCCTGCCTAAATGTCTGTCTGATTTGTTCTCAAAGACAGTTAGACGTGGAGACTCAAAATTGTTACCTAATCTTCTATACAATTCACATGTAAGCATCCAAGTTAAATGCTTAGCAGGAGGACCAGCTCCTCTATATCTAACATGTGAAGCATAGACCTCACCATCATAAAGATTAATTTTAAGTACAACTGCCAATCAGTGGCAGTTCAGTGGCCCATGGTCTTCCCCTTCTGTATTCAAACAGTGCTAGTGGAAATGAAAATGTCCACCGGTGGTGCTGATAAAAGAATATGCTGCCTAGTTCTGGTAAGTCATCAGCTTCTTTGAAAGGGTTCAAGTCCAAGAATGCTACTCAAGGATCAATATTTCGAAAAGACTTCAAAGACTTATTTGTCCCTTCTCTATACAGAGATGTGGCAAATGAGCAATGAACAGCAGCAGATACTATGGCTCTAGTTTATTCAGCTGAAGCCTTGAAATCTTTAAATCTCTTTTTTCTACTATTTCATAAATTTGTTTTTAGGCATTCAACAAAGTTCGAACTTCATATGGTTCAGACACCTAATCTGTTCACCTCTCCTGTGTACCGCCTTCCTGACTGCATGCTTTGTTTGCTTACAGTAAAAGAACCACATTTGATGGCACCTGAAAATCTGGCCCAATATCTACTCTAAGAAACCAGAAACGTAACAACTTCACCTTTTCAGAAAAGTATGAACTCTTTCTCTCATTGTCACTCATGGATAACAGAAAAGGACAATTTTTTAAATCTCACCACAAAAAAAGAAATTTTCATGATTCAGAAGAGGTATGAGACAGGATGAAAGTGAAAGCAGAATATAATCAAAGAGAAAAGGAATGTCAGCATTCTGTTGTGTTCAGCAAACTAATTTTACTAGAAGACTGTGACTACTGGAGTGAAGTATCCATGTTAGAACTGATCATGCTTGACAGCGTATTTTCTAATTGCTCATGTTATCACCTAATTCCAAATATTTGGATTTTCTTCTGAAGGCTAACTCAACATAATTCAGACAAGTTATAGTCATGAAACCTTCAAGACAGGTGAGTTCTTCATCCTGATTTGACAGACTGGAAACTACTTTGCTGTTTTCTTACTCATTTGCCATCAAAGGTTTACATTAAATATAAATTAAATTTAAAACTGGATTTAACCATTAGAGGAATGTGTAAAATTAATTTTTTGCTTTACTCATTCAGTTTGGTTTTAGAGAGATACTGACCAGCTTCATTAAGAAGGATGAATCTCAATTTTGAACAGGCTGTATGCATTGGAGTTTTGATACAAATTTTGCTTTTGCTCTTTATAAAAATAGGGACAATATACAAATTTTTAATCTAAAATAATGTTTAGAATTTTGAATGATGCTGTATCCATTGCTCTTTGAATTTCATGCTTGGGTAGTAGCCATGGCAATATGCAGATAGTGAACTGCTTTAATAAGCACTCTGAAGACTCTCTAACACTTGTGTGTGTGCCTATTCTCAGATAACGAACAATAAAACTGAGGGATTCAGGTTAAAGAACCATTTCAGACTTGCTTTGCTCTTCTTAGTAACTTACTGGGCAAATAACGTGGTCCACATCTTTTATACCTTCCCAACTTGTTTGCAGTAACTACTCTGGCTATACCTGCTGTCTCCCCTTTCCATTATGTGTTCTCCCAGGTCAAAAAAAAAAAAAAAAAAAAAAAAAAAAAATAACCAGCTGTTGATTATTGCAGTCAAGGTATTCAAGATTTGAATGAAGCTTCATTTTTATTTTGTGCTACTATAGAGAGGTTGGGTTTTGGGGTTGGTTTTTTTTAGGTATAATCTGAAAAAAAAAAAAAAAAAAAAAGAAACAAAAAACCCGAAACAGACAAAACATAAAAACCCAACTACAATACATAAAACTAATAAAAGTATGTTAATTGTACCTTTTTCATTTGTTTGCACGAAGCAGCATTTTGCCAAGCCTATTATTTGCATTTGTAATCGTAAGACATCTGGAGGTAAGGAACATGTCTTTTTCTATATTTGTACAGCTCTCAGCACAACAGGAATTAGACACTGATTAAACCCTAATGTCATATAACTACTTTATCATTGTCATCCGTACCAAACAAATACATTTGCTTGAAACTAAGCATGTTGAATGAGCAATAACATTTAATAAATCCCTGCCTTTTACTTCACTAGTAACAGGCATGTTAAAACAAAATTACACTGATGTAAATTGGGTATGATCCTATTATTTTAATGGAGTTAATCCACAATGATATAGACATTAACTGAGAACAAAAAAGTCCAGAATTCACAGGGAAAACAATAGAATAAATGGGGTTTAGATATACACATTATTTTGCCCAGGTTGCAAAACAGACTCGAGGCAATTCTCTAGAATATGAAGCTCACTGATAATATTGTACCACAATTTAGTTCAATTTTAGAATATTTACTGTCTTTCTGCAGATGCACATGTTAATTAAGTTGATTTTGGTGAATATATTATTTATAAACCCATAGTACTAAAAGGTCAAGAACTGCAAAGTCTTAATTTCTCGAGATTCTGATTCTGAACTACTTATCAGATTCGGCTACAAGAAAGCGCTGGCTGCTTGTGGGAGAAGTGTCACTTTCTGGTCATTTGAATCCAATTATGAAAGACGTACAAGTAGAACATTCCAAAATAGCATCGCTGTCACTATGACTGCATGTCACTTTTGTCTCCGTATCATTGGTTTTAGAAACATTACACAAAATGAATTGCATCAACCTTTTGTTTCTCTTCCTATTCTTTTTTAAGGTATCCTCGGAATTTCCTGATAGACTTGAGATGGAGCACTGAGTACAGAATTTCCTGAGTGTCCCACAGACACGTAAGTCATTTGGCTCATATGTGGGTGGTCTTTGACTTATTCAGCTAGCTCTGTTATAGACTCTCTAACACATCCAACCCAATTAGATAGATGCACAGTATGGTCTTTACAAAATATCATTCAACCATGTATCCTGCAACAAGCAATTACAAGTCATCTTCAGGGCATTGATTTATTTCTCATTGCCGTACCAATTTAATGACCTTGTGATTTATACTGATTATGGAAGTCTCTCCTTGGCAAGCAAAGTAATTATCCATCAATCTTAAATTCTTTAAGGGAAGAAAATGTTTATTTTCTGTCTACATAATAAGTTTTATGTCATTTTTAATGTCATGACTCCCACATGCACTGAAGATATATGTAGTGACTTCTAATGTCTCACAGAATATCAATTGGAAATGCAATTTGACAACAGGCTTAGCTTCTATTGTCTGAATATTTGGCATTATATAATGAAGACAGTTAAGTCCTCTGCTTGGAAATGCATACATTAACCTAGGATGAAACAATAGACAAATTCTGTGGTCCCGTCATGAGGCCCTACAGAAAATTCTCAGTGAGAAAAATAGGAGATTTTAAATATATATAAATATCAACTGTACAAGTAGAGGTTGAGGAGCAACAGGATGGATCATGCCTCAGCACAAAGGGGTGAGGCACATGACCTCTCACTGATCCCTTTGCTACAGTTTTTCTAGAACTGTTTGATTTACAGTAAGGATTCCAGCACTGTGTGTTAGTGTGTGAGTTTATTTTGAAAGGAAATAGGGTTTATTTGAGTGTAAATAGGAAACATCTAGATTGCATTGCATTATTTGCCAGACTAAAATCTTCTATGTGGTCTTCTGGAAAGTTTATATTATTTTGGATTTTTTACTTTTATTTTTTTTACTGTAGAACTTACAAAGTGAAAGGTTCTTAAAACCTGAAGACCCAGGAGAGACTAACATCCAAGGAAACTGAGTTTTACAGATGTACCAGTGCGTTCCCCAAACTTGGCCCTTTCTCAGCCCTGCACTACCTTACTGTTTATTTCTGTCTCTTTCATTATCTCCTCCTAGTCTTTGCAGATTGTTTGACATGTAACCTCTATTAATAACCTTAGAATTTTCAGACCCACAGCATAGCAGCTATGTAAGATGATGAAGTCCCTTCTACACATTCTGAGTTTGACGGGAAAGTTCACTATTCGCAAGAGTTAATATGGATGGAAGTTCAAGCTGGGTTCAGAAATGAAGATAGTGAGGTGTCAATGTGTCCAACATACAGCTTCAGTGCTACAGGTGAGACACTAGAATTATTCCTCTCCATACATTCAAGTTACTGGAAATGATAGAAGAAAACTCTTCCACTGCTCAGGAACAGTATACGTCAAGAGATCTTAGATTTTACAGCCAAGCCTCTGCACTTCACCTATGAATACCGCCTATTAATTGGGCATGGATATAGTTTTCCTACAATTCTGGAGTTACTTTCTTTCTGAGTCCTTAAAAAACTACTATAACAATTCAAAACCAAAATTTATCAGAAATAGAAACTTCACAGAGAACAAGATGCTGTGAAAATTTAACAAATAGGAAATGTCACCTTCTACAAATCAGGCGATACCACCAACTCAATGCAAAAGGACTGATTTAACTTTTCACATTTGACTTCTTGTGTTGAAGTGAAGAATGAAAATCTAGGCAATCTGTCCAAAAGATAGAGCTCAGAGGGTCATGATTAGTGTCACAGAGTCTAATTGGAGGCCTGTAACAAGGAGTCAGTACTAGGTCCAGTCCTGTTTCAATATATTCAAGCAAGTTTGCTGATGGCATAAAACTGGGAGGGGTGGCTGACACCCCAGAAGGCTGTGGCACCATTCGGTGAGACCTGGACAGGCTGGAGAGTTGGACGGAGAGAAACTCAATGAAGTTCAACAAAGGCAAGTATGGAGTCCTGTACCTGGGGAGGAATAACCCCCTGCACCAGTACAGGTTAAGGGCTGTCCGGCTGGAGAACAGCTCTGAGGAAAAGGAACTGGGAGTCCTGGTGGACAACAGGATGACCATGAGCCAGCAATATGCCCTTGTGGCCAAGAAGGCCCATGGCATCCTGGGGTGCATCAAGAAGAGTGTGACCAGCAGATCAAGGGAGGTCATCCTCCCCCTTTAGTCTGTCCTGGTGAGGCCCCATCTGGAGTACTGTGTCCAGTTCTGGGCTCCATAGTTCAAGAAGGACAGGGAACTGCTGTAGAGGGTACAGCAAAGGGCTACAGAGATGATTAGGGGCCTAGAACGTCTCTCTCATGAGGAAAGCCTGAGGGACTTGGGTATTTTTAGTCTGGAGAACAGAACACTGAGGGAGGGACCTGATCAATGCTTGAAGGGTGGGTATAAGAGGAAGGGGCCAGTCTTTTTTCAGTGGTGTCCAGTGACAGGACAAGAAGTAACTTGAATATAGGAAGTTTCATCTAAACACGAGGAGGAACTAATTTACTTTGAGGGTGATGGAGCACTGGAACAGGCAGCCCAGGTACAGCCAAGCCTCTGCACTTCACCTATGAATACCGCCTATTAATTGGGCATGGATATAGTTTTCCTACAATTCTGGAGTTACTTTCTTTCTGAGTCCTTAAAAAACTACTATAACAATTCAAAACCAAAATTTATCAGAAATAGAAACTTCACAGAGAACAAGATGCTGTGAAAATTTAACAAATAGGAAATGTCACCTTCTACAAATCAGGCGATACCACCAACTCAATGCAAAAGGACTGATTTAACTTTTCACATTTGACTTCTTGTGTTGAAGTGAAGAATGAAAATCTAGGCAATCTGTCCAAAAGATAGAGCTCAGAGGGTCATGATTAGTGTCACAGAGTCTAATTGGAGGCCTGTAACAAGGAGTCAGTACTAGGTCCAGTCCTGTTTCAATATATTCAAGCAAGTTTGCTGATGGCATAAAACTGGGAGGGGTGGCTGACACCCCAGAAGGCTGTGGCACCATTCGGTGAGACCTGGACAGGCTGGAGAGTTGGACGGAGAGAAACTCAATGAAGTTCAACAAAGGCAAGTATGGAGTCCTGTACCTGGGGAGGAATAACCCCCTGCACCAATACAGGTTAAGGGCTGACCTGCTGGAGAACAGCTCTGAGGAAAAGGAACTGGGAGTCCTGGTGGACAACAGGATGACCATGAGCCAGCAATATGCCCTTGTGGCCAAGAAGGCCCATGGCATCCTGGGGTGCATCAAGAAGAGTGTGACCAGCAGATCAAGGGAGGTCATCCTCCCCCTTTAGTCTGTCCTGGTGAGGCCCCATCTGGAGTACTGTGTCCAGTTCTGGGCTCCCTAGTTCAAGAAGGACAGGGAACTGCTGTAGAGGGTACAGCAAAGGGCTACAGAGATGATTAGGGGCCTAGAACGTCTCTCTCATGAGGAAAGCCTGAGGGACTTGGGTATTTTTAGTCTGGAGAACAGAACACTGAGGGAGGGACCTGATCAATGCTTGAAGGGTGGGTATAAGAGGAAGGGGCCAGTCTTTTTTCAGTGGTGTCCAGTGACAGGACAAGAAGTAACTTGAATATAGGAAGTTTCATCTAAACACGAGGAGGAACTAATTTACTTTGAGGGTGATGGAGCACTGGAACAGGCAGCCCAGGGGGGTGGTGGAGTCTCCATCTTTGGAGACATTCAAAACCTGCCTGGATATGTTGCTGTGCAACCTGCTCTGGGTGAACCTGCTCTGGCAGGCGGGTTGAACTAGATGATCTCCAGAGGTCCCTTTCAACCCCATATCCTTCTGCAATTCTGTGACAAGCCAACAAATATTCTCTCTCTGAAATCTGCAGTTACATGTTTTTCTTAAAGTCACCAGAAATTACATGTTACTTAATACTTTTTTAAATCTTGAAAAGGAAAATCTTACCACACCTTTTATTACAGACAAAACCTTTTTCTTCCAAAGAGCTTTAGGGTAGTACTTATTTTTCCTAAAAAAAAAAAAATTGTTCTTAACTAGGAATGAGACCAACCCAAAATTTCAAATTTAAACACTTCCTCCCATGCAAAATCACTTAGGTTGACCAGAAAACCATCCTGAATATTTTTTCTCACATTCTCAACACTACCAATTTCAAATACCTAAGCAACTCCAACGCAATGTGGAGTGGATTGCTTTCTACCCACACTACTTAAGGGCAGCCTCTTTTGGGGCAGATTGCCCACAGCCAGGGTACTGAGCTTTTGGACCTCACTTTCTTCTGGTTCTCACGTAGTGCTCTGTTGCCCTAATATATTATTGGTATTGTACACTTTTAAATTTCAGAGTGTCTGTAGTAATGTAATAGCCTCACTGCAACCTACCAGAGAGCTCAAAACTGAGGTGACAGAAAGGACCAAGGGAGGGGTATGAGAGTGCATTTGAGGGTGCTAAACATTCTGAGACAGTTTTTTAAAAGACTGCGTAGGTAGAGGAAGCTAATTTTGATGCCCTGATTTGATTCATCCTGCTTTTTGGGAGCACTCCAATTTCAGCTTTGGAATGATCCTAAGTAATCCAAGGAACTGAGTGGATGATGAGCGGACCCAGTGCTTGAGCCTGCTTCCTGGCCATCGTTAGCAGTTTAGATATGCCCTGTATAATGGGATTTAAACCACAGATAACATATATCTCAATTCAGCAATTTTCACTTCCTATTTATATCCTCAGCGTACACTGTGAAACTGTATCTAGCTCCAAGAAAAAACTGCAGTATTAAGAGCAACAGTTTTGAATCAAGCCCAAAAAAAGTATAGAACCAGATACTACAAGACAAAAATAAATGGGCTGAAACACAAAATTAGGAGCATTGCCAATCAGTTCCAATTTTATGGAATTAAATGTCATCAAACAAACTATGTAGAAATTTTGAGCGATTACTTTTGTTTTCCCATAAAATTTCTAGATTTTAGGCATTGCATTTAGTATTGGGGAATACATATGGAAAAATCAATATAAAACAGAGGATGTTGACAGATCACAAACCACTACGTTAATGGAGAACCTTATTAATTGGAGGTTTTGCTGTGGAGTTGGATGACTTCATTTAATGTTTGCCTCATTGGCCCAGTTTAAAAATGAAAACTTATATGGTTGTTTAACAAACTTGCATTTTAACACAACTAAATGCAAGATGATGCATGCAGAAGCTGCTATTGTTCACCTTATTCACAGAATGCATACAGATGTCTTTTCAATATTTGAGTCCATATATAAACACACCTGGAGTTATCATTACCCCAAATGTGGTGCTTTGCTAAGATACCTAATTTAATGCTGGCACTCATAATACAAAGACAACTGATTAGGATCAATGATGTGGTATCTCATCAGATTAGTGGATTACTGCATTTAATTTTAATAGTCACTTTGCAAATTAATTACAAATTAAAAAGAAACCTCAGGAATGATGTTACAGTTTAAGAATATGGCCTTCCATCACAGATTATAAAGGCACTACACTGAGAAGAGGAGAAAACGTCACCCTAGTTCATAAGTACTCCTAAGATCAAGACTGCTAATGTGGCAGATAAGATACTGATAAATTAACTCAGAAATTTTACTATTTCAATTATTTTTTGTCGCACACCTGTTCCTCTGCTTCAGGTTATTTCCCTGTAGCGGAGCCTGTAGAACACAATGTCTGCTATCGCCTCTGCAGTTTCAGTTCATAATTCAGAGTCTTATGTTAAAATCTACTTTGATGAGTTCCTCAAGCTAAAATGCCAGTTCAGACTAGACTGGCCAAGATGGGGATGCACATTGCAGTAACTGACACATAGTTGAGAGCAAAACCCTAAAAAATGGATCAGGGTGAGTCCCTGGCACTGGTAATAGCTTGAAGATCTCCAATCTGTCAGTTACTCTGGTCTGATCCTGAACATGTGTCACGGAGGCAGAAAGTAAGTAAAGGTGCTCTGTTGCAATACTCTAGAAAGAGCATTTCAAAAGCAAAGTCTATTGTAAGTCTGTGAAAATAACTACTAGGTAGACTGAAGGTAGATAGGAGTTACCCATTTTTGCATACAAGACAGCACAGTCTTCTTGAAAAACAAAAAAGTCATGTGAAGATTTCATTATGAAATTAATTTTTTTATAGATTCCAATTAGTTTTTACCCCTTTTAAATTAAATTCAGGCACATTTTGTAACAAAACACAAGATCCTTATGTTTAAAATATATATTAAAATATTTCAAACATATTTCTGCATTTTTCAGATCAGAATATTTGTGGAATATAATGTATTTTCAAATATTTTTAGACAATGTGAAAAGCAGTTATTTTCCAACTATTTTAATACATCTTTAACAGTCATTACATTCTAATATGAGACTTAAAATAATGAAATGTCTTCTAAGTGTGTGATTAGTGCATTATCAGAGTTTGGGGGATTGGGACATATCTCTAATTGTGAATTTCCACACCCTACAGATTTATAAAATTTCATAGACGCAGCTAATCTTCTATGTAACATGCATATAATCTATAAAATTTACAATACTGGTCTAATGATTTTTTATTAATTATTAAAATACATTCTAAACCTGAATTCCATCTTTAATACATACTGTACCTTTCTTGAAATACATTAATATAATGCAATTTATATTGCATTCCTGAAATTGTTCTTTCTGTATACATTTCTGCATTTGTAATCCTCCTTCAAAAATTATTTCCTACACCACTGAAAGTTACAAGTTCCTGATTTCAGGTAAGTTTCTCCAAAAACCTAGCAGATAACCATATTTGCAAGACTACCCAGCCTGCTTATCTTTCCACTTACCGACCTACCTGTTTCATTTTAGGTATTTCTAGGGACCTGGCACTTAATATCTAGAAGTATCTACTTACAAATACAATTTTTCAGGACATTTAATTTTACTATAAAACAAGTCTTTGCCCTGTAGGATTCTTTTACTTTTTCTGTGATTTGCTCAGACCTCCTGTATGGCACATAGACTTATTCAGATTCCCTCACCCTTTATCACAGCAGTACATCATACCCCAAGTACACAAGACCTAAAAATGGATTGTTTTTGTAGATGCACCAAAGAGAGAAAGGAAAACACAACGGAATTTAAAAACATGCTTGAGATCTGCACAGTGATTCACCAGTTATTTTTATACTGGAAACAGAATTGATCTGAAAGTTAAGTATGCCTCATAGATCACAGGTACGTGTTCTTTGCAAACATTCATGAGAACAGGAGAATAGGAGAAAAAATACTGGCATCCTAATCTATTATTTCCTCCATCCTTCATTTCTGCATTTTGTAGCATACAATCAAGTAGAATATAGGAGACAAGAAATCTGTGAGAAGAACTGTGACATGTTTTTCCTGTGGATCTTAGTTTTGGATTTGTGTGTGGTTTGTTGTTGTTTTTTTTTTTTAAATACTAATAACATTCCTACTATTGACTGCTCCAAACTATTTTATTATGAAGAATATAAGAAGGTTTGGTTATGTTGGAAATGTCAGGGCCTTTGGGAAGAAAACACAGAAAACAGATGTTTGTTGTTTAAGGTTACAATGTAATTAAACCAATGGGACTAATATTACTTATATGTCATTACTTAAGAAGCAGCTGTTCCTCCCACCTCTGGCTTCACTGATTTGATCATATACATTTTCCACCCCCATAACACTGTCTCCTTGTCAGCCTAAGTCTCCTCTTTCTAGTAAATTGGAAAGTAACGTTAACATAAATTTAAAGGAACCATCCTCAAACCTTTAATGAACAGAGGTTGCTAAAGGCATTATTGTTTACACTAGTAGGCAATATTGAGAATTCCTCTGCATTCCATTAGTTTTCCCTGATCAGAAATGTAGCCCATCTGACAATCAGAATTTAAAAAATTGTGCATAACAGGTTGATATTGTTTTACAAGAACTCACATCAGTTCCTTGAAAAAGTGAAATATAGCATTGGTAGAATCCAAGCTAAGTCACAGGTTAACAATTCTAGAAAATTTATGAGAAGGAAGTATGAAGTAATGCTATATATCAGAAGGACTGGACAATATAGAGCATTTATATAGGTGCCCGTAGCATCAGGGAAAGGGTAGTCCCCCATTAATGTTTACGCTTCTAGGACAAGGACAGTTTGAGGAGCATAAAGGCCACCAAACTGTGCCCAATTTATCATTTGCCAAGTACAGTTTCGTAACTTTCATGATCAGCAACATCTGATGGATGTAAATACTGCACTATAAGAGGTTTATATTTTCTTTATAATTTTTTTCTCCCTGTGAATTCCAGGACTTGTTTATACAGGGAAATTAATGTTGTGTAAGCTACAGTAGAATGGTTAAGCAGGCTCCTTTATTAATAAATCATTCTTAGATAATACTATGATACAAAAAGATTAAGCAACATCTGACTTTATGCGGGGAGTTAGTGTATTATTGCTGGCTCATAACTAATTCTGTTCTTGGCCTTCTGTGAATCAGTTTGCCTTTGTAGAGCAGCCCAAAGCCTATCCTACAGTTAAAAAAAATAATTAAGTGCCTCCTTATCCATTAAGCAGCTGTCATTTTTTAGTTGCCATGAGGTTCTGGATATGTGTTAACTGCCAGTACAGAGTCTGTTTAACCTCAATATAGGTCTCTAGAGAGGCTTACCAGTTATGATATCAACAAATATTTTCATTACCTTAAAACTTCAACCATATAATGAGATGAGTCGTCCTGCTTGAGTTTAAAAATGGGTTGAATAAAAGTTGTGAACCTTTGTGTCCTTCATTTTTTTGTGTACCATTACTGTACCCCTTCTTAGACATTTTCTGTTTCTCTGCATGTAGGATATTTTGTTTGCACTAATTTTTACCGTTTAAATCTGAACATCCCCCTATTTCTGCTCTTCTTGTACCTCAGTGCCATTATTGACTCCTGATCTACAAATAAGTAGCAAGATACTGTGTCCTAAAAATTGTCCTATAGTTAAAATTATCACATGCAATTAGCAAGTTAATCAATTCATCTACATACCTGACCAATCCAAGCATGGGATTTAGAAATTTTAGTTTAAAAATTAATTGAGCGTATAAAATTATTTTCTACAAATACTTGTGCCCTAGACCCTTCACCAGCTTCGTTGCTCAGTTGACTGGACCTCTTTTAGGCTTTTTCATGGCCATCTGTCTTCACAGACTCTGAACGGCTGGATAGGGGGGGACTTTCCAGTGAATGAATGAAGTGCAAGCCAGGTACTGTGCACTCCAGCATCCTTCACAGGAAGGTGGGGCCAAAATAATGGTCTTGAACTTTTTAGAACGTGTTTTAATTAGCGTTGGATGTACAAAGATCAGAGGAGGCATATTTGTCTTTATTTTCTGACCTCCATAAGTGCTGAGAAAGCTGTGGAGCACCATTTACTTTAAAGTTGTGTTTGAATTATATACTCAAAATATGAGATAATTCTTTACACAGGGGATACTACTATATCAGAAAATGTTACTCTCTGTGCTGGATATGGGGTAGTGGAGTTACAAGTGAGGTCAGAACCTGGTACTCAAATACAAATTTTCACAAGAAACTGCAGATAGTTCATATATAAATGGTTTGTATTTGCAAGTACAGTCTGTTCTTCCAACTCATTAGCTGATACTTTATGCTCTGCCAAATTGTCAATTGTAATACTCTAAAAAAATATAATCTTAAACAAATTGTAGAGAACAGTGACATTCGTAACAGTAGATTAACGCCAAGTATTTTAGTATCAGATGATGGATATAGACAGTTTGGGTTGAAGGAGGTAATGAGTCAGAAGATTTGAGGTTATCCATTTTTGTATTACTTTTTTTAGTTTTATTTAATTTCTAGTTTGCATTGATTTTAATAGCATAGGCAAGAGTATTTTCATTGGAGATTCTGCACTGTGTGAAATGCACTCTGGAGTTCCATTCAGGGAACTCCAATTTTTGCCATCAGCTTGAGGCACTTAACACAAGATTTGCAAAGATGCTGAGGGCCCTTGATTTCCCACAGTTTCAATGAAAGCATCAGGTTTCTGCATTTCTTTTGTACCTTTTTCAGATCAACAAGAAGCTGAGTATGTACCCTCATATCTTATTAAAGTAAAACTGAAAATACATTGCACCACTTGAAACGGGACTCTAAAAAAACCACTCAGCCACAGAGCTCTAGGCCTACCTCATGTCCTCATTAAATTGCAAAACAATCACTCATCTCAGCATTCATTTAGCTACTGAATCCTGGATTTTGATTTTGTTAAAAATTAAGAACATCCAACAGCAGCTTTGCAACCTTACACAAACATACATATTTTTGGTTCACGAGAAACAGTCTTTTGTAATACAGAACACTGGAGTGTTTGACTACCACAATTGACACGAGCCTGCTCTACAGGTACTTTGTAAGCATTTATATCAGTCTGTTAATGTTCATGCATGTATAGAGGCTTACCGTCCCATCAAAACACAATCAAACCACCTCAGCTGCAAAGGTCCACACAAGTTAATAAAACTACGTGTATTTACATTTGCTACAGATCTGGCCTAAGGATTTTTGTTGGTAAGGCCTGATGCAATGCCCACGGAAGTCAGTAAGGTGACCAGAAGAAAATAACCAGAATGTATAATTAGACAAAATACAAACTATATAGAGGGAGGAAAAAGATATTTTTCTTTCTTTGCATCAGAAAAACACTAGATGAGAGATACTCCCAGTTGTGTGAAAAGGTTTGGAGAAGTTTCTCTATTACTCACACCACTGAATCTCCCTTATTTGAGCTCCATCTGTAGAATCCTTCTCATGTAGACAATATAGGGTTTCATGTTTTCTTCAGTGACTTTTAAACCTTTGCATTTCTCTTGAAAGTAGAAGAGGAAAAGGTGATCTCAGGAGCCTGATTTTACCCTGTTTCTACCAAAGTGTGTTTTTTATTTGTGGAAAGGGGCAGAAATAGGAGGAGAATTGTTTTTAAATGAAAGAAAATGTATATTAGTATATATAATGAGCAACCTTTTACCTTTATCAGTAAAATTAAAAGTGTACTATTGAACATGTCCTGTGAAATCAGTGTAAGGAAAAATTTAGTCATGTTTCCCACAAGCACATTGGATATCCAAGACACTTGTCAAATTTACAATAGTTTAACTGCCATAAATCAGACCACACTTTTCAAGTCTTATACTGTAAACTACCTGTTTCTAAGTTAATAAGCCTATTGGAATAATGGATCTGTTTTTCATAAAAATTTCTCATATCTGAGGCAAAATACCTGACTGCTTGTTTATGTAGGGGATACAAACCACAGCAGGCAGTAAATCATGTAATATAATCAAGTAAGGAAGAAACAGTTATCGAAAGAGAAAATTCTATATTATATTTGTATTGCACTTATTTCATATTCATGCTATTGAAAAGCCTGAACAGTCACTGTATACATCCATACTATGGCATGTGAAATAACAGAAGTAAGGGAAAGGCAGTAACAAAAAGTTTAAAAGTTGTGATGGATAGGGAATATTTGGAAATCCTTCACTCAGTTCAAAGGAGTGACAGATACTGCCGTTGGGCACTACATAAGCTCCTCTCCCGAAGTCTAGCAGTGTAGCATCAATACAACTTACTAGAGCACCTGTACCATCATCACAGACCATACAATCCACAAACCTTGCCAAGTAGTAAAATAGCTTTGCAGATTCAAGGATTCAAAACAGAATAAAACTTTTGCTTAACATACCATCATATAAATGTTTCCAATTTAAGTTTGTCAATTTTTAGTGACAACAAATGAATGTAATTATTAACAGTACTGAGCCATCTTTCTTATGAGCTGAAAGTTGGTGATGATTTCTCCAAACATTAGCCAGTTACGTCTTGACACAGTCCTATGAGATACTATTATTATGTCTCTATATATGGAGAGACCATAATATGGTCTTAAGCATAAGCCATTTCTGCAAGTTCTCTGGGAGAGCTAAGAATAATAAATCAGCATAAGATTTTATTTTTCTTGGTGATTGGCTATTTAAAGAAAAATCTATGTTATAAATTGTAAAACAATTTAGGATCTTTGCTTGGCATATGGATTTAGTTTTCCACTTCATTTAAATTCTGATCAATTTTTAAATTCCTTTTTATTTTAAATTTAACCAAAGAGCTGCTTCTAGAAAATATATCACACAAAATATACTCATGTCCTCACAGTCTTTACAGTTCATAGTTGAGGAATAAATAGCTAAACCATACAATTATTTGAATTTCATTACACAGGAAAAGATGACAGACATGAGAATAGGTTACTGGAAAATCAAAGAATTTTTTGAAAAAATAAACCAGACCATATTAAATAAAGATACCAAAGAGAAAATGTGAAACCCTGAAGTAAAAATGATTTATGATGATTAGGAAAGTTATCATTTGAGTACCTTTAATAAGACACATAACTGAAAAGAAAATTATAAAGAAACAGAGGAAAATGGCTGAGATTAAATAATAGAATGCTACACTCCCAAAACGTGCAGGTGGAAATTAAAGAAATAACTACTTATTTTAAGCATCAGAGAATAGGTACTGGAATTACTGAGGGTGTGAAGAGACTATTTTCTACTGAGGGCATGAAGAGAATATTTTCTGAAAATGTTAAAGCAAGCTATTTTGTGACTATGAAAAAATCCTGCTGGTCCTGATTTCAAAGTGTAAAGAGAGCAGTTGCCTGTGAGGGTATACAGCTGGCAATCCCACATGATGCAAAATGAATCATGAAAAATGTGAATCTTTTGGGGGGAGGAGGAGGAATTTGTATAAAGTCACTGATTGTAGTAGGTTCTCTCCCCTCTCTCATACTTGGGAGCAGACAGGGAAGTGAAAAATGTAGTTATGTGATAACTCTTAGCTATTGAGTTCTACAGGCCAGGCAATCACTATTACTTAATGGTATGCTATGCTGAGCATTTCTAAAGAACAATTTAATAAGCAGCATATCCACAAGAAGAAATATAAACATAAACCTCCAGCCCCCAGTGGGCAAAGAGCAAGTGACCAAACCCAGACTCCACATGCGGAATTTTCTATGGCAGAAAGTGTAGCTCTGTCTAGTGCACAAACAGGACTGTGGCTCTCTTCTAAGTGATGGGATCCTTCTTTTCCTGTTTGTCACAGATTATTTTGTCACCTTTTGCCAATCTTATTTTGTAAATTTTCATTAATGGATGGAGGAAGGATGAATCAGAAGCTTCACACCATTTTAGAAATTAGGAAAATCTCAGATTATTGCCAGATATTCTACAGATTATTTTTTTGTGTATGATTTTGAAAGAGTTACCCTTTCTGTATTGTATTTTGCCACCTTTCAGGCAGAAACAATAGCTCTCTTACTTCATAGGTCTGCAGATGAAGAATGATTACGATGCTGTAACGATGAGAAGCTAATGTATACTCAAGATAGATGCTAACCCAAATGTCTTTGAGCATAAATTTATCACCTTCAGGGGGTTTCACGTGTGAAAGTCTTAGAAAATTGAAATATTAGATTATTTCATTTAAGAGAGCTATTTCAGGCATATATTATCCATGTGAAACAAATTCTTTGGTGACGGGGCTGCTGTTAGATGCTCTATTTTACACGTTTTATCTGTTGGGTTTTTGTTATTATTACTCAAGCTATCAAATTCATGATCTGTAGAAACAGCAAACAGTGCAATGGAAATTGTGACCCAAGGCACTGACAACAGAGAAACAAACTTTTCCAGATAATAAGTGTTATCAAAAGCTAAAGAAATTTGATAGAGAGAAGAAACAAACCTGAGCAAGTGTTTCACTTCTGCATGCAACAAAAATTACAGATATAAAATTATTAAGTGTACGTCTAAAAGTATGTAGTGCTGAAAAAGAAGACCAATGACTAAAAAACATTATTTTTCTGATTTTTGCAACATGGTTTTAAATGTTAATCTCCTCAAGATAAAAATACCATATTAATCATAAACTCTCTGACAAAACACACTCCTGCATTTCATATACTGCTCTTTACCCTTGTGACAAAATTTATTGCAACTTGAGTTGTGGCAATCTGAAGAATTTATGGAAACATGCTGTAGCTTCATTCAGTTTCATTTTTCAGGTTAACTAACAAACTCCAAAACCCTGGAATATTGTTTCAAACCCAGGTAACTCTGTGTACAGGAGCACTGGCACAACTGAAACTGAAGCAGAGGGTCAGGAATAAGTGCCTAGGAACAGAAACCTCTAAAATTGGCTGTCTGGCTTAAAAGAATAAAGAATCGTATCTGAGCGTGGAGCTAGGAAGGCTGTATTAAACAGAGATATTGAAAAAGCACTGTGATACTCATGCTCTAATACAATCTTTAAGTGGGCCTAAAATGCCAGCATAACTCACTCAACTGAAATAAAAAAAGAATCTCTGGCATGTTGCAGAAATACTGGGGAAAGAAAGAAAAAATTCCTTCTTTTATAAGGTCACCCACGAACATCTAGTATGGCTCTTAAAATCCCTTTCTTATGCATAGAAGTGAATAAACAAAAGAAAGAATGCCCTTCAGTTCTTCAATTCTTAGAATGTATTTGCCTTGAACATCACTCAGAGAGCAGAGATAATAGATTTCCCTCCCTTTTTTCTTTTTGTTTTGTTTGTGCGTGTGAAGGGACATCTGCGAAGTTATATTTATAGAACGAAATAATTCACTAGGGAATGAAACAAACTCTAGATATATATGCATGAACTGTACGTAGCAATGTGTGACCTGAAGTTACACTGACAAAATTAACTCAACTCTTCAGAAAGGATGATTTATTATTTGCTTTGTCTGGTTTGATTAGTCCACTCCACAATCTTTTAAAATATAAATACATAATGAAGAATTCTTGATGTACACGTAAGGGAATTGTGTATCCAGATTCTTTGAGCTTTACCAACATCATGGGAAGATGTGAAAGGTTTCTTTATTATCTCTAAAACTTTTGACAACCTTTGGTCAGTTGAAGTATCCTGACTTCTCATCCCTGCCATTTTATTCTCTCTTCTGTTGTCCTGGCGTAAGTGTTTAGTCATAGAATCATCTAGATTGGAAGGGACCTTAAGAGTCCAACCATTAATCTAACTCTGATAAAACCCCCACTAAACCATGTCCCTCAGCACCACATCTACCCAATACCCAATACTTGCCATAGGATTATATAGGCATTAAATTAATAGTTTAGATGTTAATGTTTTAGCAAGCAAACTATTTAAATGCCTGCATGACTTGAACACAACTGGGTTTCTTTTTTTTCCTGTGCAGCTGCTCAGTAAACCGAGAAAGAGAAACTGAAAGGAGAATATTCAACAGTCACCCAAAACCTCCATGTTTCTTTGATGACATGTGGAACTGATAACTGGACTGAGAGCAAAGCTGGGAATGCCTTAGGATGCAGGAAGTAGAAGATTCTTACACAGACCAGCTGAGCTAAGGAAGTGAACTTGAAATATAATCCTTGAAAAAAACCATTAAATTGCCCTAACAAGAATACGTAGTGTCCTGATTTGACTAAAGGTAACTAAACATTTATAGTTTCAGGGATTTAGGACGAAACCATTAGAACTGTTTTCCCTGTTGACACTGTGACTTGTGATACTTGCATGAGACCTCTCGTAATTTTTGACATGAAATCCCTTGACCCAGAATTATTACACTTTTTATTCTGTTCTTTTTAAAGCTCAAAGGCAACATGCAATATATTCAGGTTTTTTTTTTCCACAAATGGCATGTATGTGTGGTGTGCATGCCCCAACCAAGCAGCACAGTGTTACTAATCAGTGTTAGCAAATATCAATACTTATTAACGACTACATAATGGGACACATTCTTTCATTGAGCCCCTATATATCTTTAAGAAATCTTCCTAAAAGGAAGCTTAAATATTCTGCCACTACTTTTTTTGTTCTTATGTATATTTATAGAAAATAATAATGTGCTTTATGTAATTGTATAACAGATGTTTTTATAAAAACTACCTTCTACTCAATGTAAAGTTAAAATTAATATTGTCATTTTGTACTATAATTAATATGTGAAAGGATTAGCTGCTATGGTCTTGGATGCTACAGAAACCTCAGGTTATACTGATAATTACCACATGAACCTTCTGGGCATGAATAAGAACAGCTACGCTATACTGCTTTAAACTGCCCCTTAGAGAAGCTCATCTCTCTTCACTGACTACAGTAAGAAGTTAGGGAGATTTAGCCTAAACTATAATTAGCCCCTAAGTACCAAGGCAGCGACTTCCATCAACTTCAGTGGAATTTGAGTCAAATTTCTAGTCCATCCTCTGCTAATACAGGATAATTTGTGAAACTACCTCACAATAAAAATTCTGTTATATTGCTTGACTGATAGGAAGAGAAATTCATAGCCCCAATTAATAATTCTCCTTTAAAATTTGATTTTTATTATTAAATACTTAAATCTGCTACCCATAACTAATTCTGAAATGTTAATAAAATAATGTAAACTGCAAAGTAAAACAGAGACATAAAATGTGTTCATATCTGATTTTGGAGGGTGAAGACTGTTTGAGTACCCATAGTATCTGTATATAAAAGTATATAGTTATTATTTAAAAAAACTTGGCAAAATACCTACTCAGCCACAACGTAGTATTGAAACTAATGGGAAAATAGTAAAGTGATATTCTTTTTGAAACTTAAATAACTTTCTTGTTATACCTGAAATATAAGAAGGACATGGACCTATTGGAGAGAGTCCAGAGGAGGGCCACAAAGCCCTCTAATAGAGGGCTGGAGCACCTCTGCTATAAAGACAGGCTGAGAGAGCTGGGTTTGTTCAGCCTGGAGAAGGCTCCAGGGAGACCTTATCGCCCCTTCCAGTACCTAAAGGGGGCCTACAGGAAAGATGGGGAGGGACTCTTTATCAGGAGTGGAGTGATAGGATGAGGGGTAACAGTTTTAAACTGAAAGATTTAGATTAGATCTTAGGAAGAAATTCTTTACTTTGAGGGTGCTGGGGCACTGGAACAGACAAGTTGTGGATGCCCCATCCCTGGAGGTGTTCAAGGTTGAATTGGATGGGACTTTAAACAACTTGGTCTATTGGAAGGTGTCCCTCCCCATGGGAGGGGACTAATTCTCCTTTAAAATTTGATTTTTATTATTAAATACTTAAATCTGCTACCCATAACTAATTCTGAAATGTTAATAAAATAATGTAAACTGCAAAGTAAAACAGAGACATAAAATGTGTTCATATCTGATTTTGGAGGGTGAAGACTGTTTGAGTACCCATAGTATCTGTATATAAAAGTATATAGTTATTATTTAAAAAAACTTGGCAAAATACCTACTCAGCCACAACGTAGTATTGAAACTAATGGGAAAATAGTAAAGTGATATTCTTTTTGAAACTTAAATAACTTTCTTGTTATACCTGAAATATAAGAAGGACATGGACCTATTGGAGAGAGTCCAGAGGAGGGCCACAAAGCCCTCTAATAGAGGGCTGGAGCACCTCTGCTATAAAGACAGGCTGAGAGAGCTGGGTTTGTTCAGCCTGGAGAAGGCTCCAGGGAGACCTTATCGCCCCTTCCAGTACCTAAAGGGGGCCTACAGGAAAGATGGGGAGGGACTCTTTATCAGGAGTGGAGTGATAGGATGAGGGGTAACAGTTTTAAACTGAAAGATTTAGATTAGATCTTAGGAAGAAATTCTTTACTTTGAGGGTGCTGGGGCACTGGAACAGACAAGTTGTGGATGCCCCATCCCTGGAGGTGTTCAAGGTTGAATTGGATGGGACTTTAAACAACTTGGTCTATTGGAAGGTGTCCCTCCCCATGGGAGGGGACTGGAACTAGCTGATCTTTAAGGTCCCTTCCAACCTAAACCATTCTCTGAGTCTATGATTAGTCAAGAATATCAATACACAGAAGTAGATTAAAGAATAGTCTAAAATGTTTCATATAAAGCAAACAAATCAGTGAAACCATCTGAAATATGAAAAGGAAGTATTAAGAAATCTTGGGAAACTAAGTGAGATGAGAAATCAATATTGAACACAGACTGTCAAACAGAGAACATAGAGATTATGGTAGCAAAACACCTGAGCTGAATTCCAAGATAGAGCTTTTTACTAGACACGCTGTAAGACTCAAATAGGAGGCAGCAAGATCATCCTACAAGGACAGTTTTGAAGTCATGATTCCACAGCCTAAAAATAATCCTGGAGAAAATAACTACACAGAACAGGAATGAGCCGTTGACAATGCGGCAGGAAGAACCTGACCTGGCACTCATAATGGGAGAAACAGATGAAAAAAATGGGGCCTAAATGGGCAAATAATTGTTTAATGTGCTATTCAAATATAAATGCTCAGTCCTCAATGAACAGTTCCTATACAAAGCAAACAGAAAAAGCAATTTAGTTTAGTTTCCTTGGAAGAGATCTCATTTATCAGTCTTCAAACGCAGTGTATACTTACACCTCATGTTCTAAAAAAGGAAATATTTGGTTTGTGCCAATACTGTTTTGCTTCCTACTTTTTTCAATGGGGAAACTAATGCCAATTTTTGCATTGGCCTTCCAGGTCTGGCACAAAGCAGATATTTGAAATGGATGAGTACTTTCTCCTGAGCTAAATCCGAATGTTAATAGGAACAAAACAGGTTGGTTTTGGTTGCTAAACCACACACCCACTAGTTCTTCAACCCTGAGGGAGAAAGCCGGGTGAGAATACAATGTAAATTATTCAACCTTAATGGCTGATCCTCAGAACCTGTAGAAACTAGTCTTTTAACGTACCTTGGGGCAATGAAAGTCTGAAGAGTAAGCACAAGTGAAAAAGGACAATCAATAAGCAACATAGGACCTCCAATCAGACACCAGAAAAGTTTGTGCTTAACTCAAATGGGATCCTAATCCATAAAGATGGAGCATAAAATTAGCTGTCACTGAACCTTCCTTCCCTCTTCCCTCAGGATTCTCAAGTATTTTGCCTTTACACAGAATGTTTGAGTATTCCTCTTGTTTTCTACTTTTCAGGGACAGAAGGAGAAACACAAATGAGATACATTTTTATTACAGTTCTCATTCCTTACCCATATCTAAAGGTTTTCTTCTAGAATTTTATTTCTGTCCACTAAACGCAGAAAACAGCAGTGCCTCCTTTTAAGTAGTGATCAACAACTGCAACACTTTATACTGTGCAATGTTTGGGTATTTGCCAGCAAAATGTTTATTGTAATAAAAAATGCTGTCACCAAGGCGAATAAACCCATTTCTGATATTTTAGTGGGTAGGGGAAATTAAAAATATTTTAAGTTATGTGGAAATAATACTAATATAGATGAAAATTGAAAAAGCGTAAGAGAGAAAATGGACAACTAGACTACAGAAATTATATGGGAAAAAGAGAGGAACTCAGTGATCCTTACACATCCCTCTGTCCAGAGAGGAGTGATAAAGAATGCATTTATGAATTCAGTTCTCGTTCTATCACAGATTTTGTTATATTTGAAATATATTTGTTAAGTGTCCATGTGTTTTTAAGAAGGACATTACATAAGAACTAAGAAAAAGGGGAAAATTCTTAGGACATTTTTAAAAGGCCTAATATTTACCTCTTATCCTTCAGTTAGGACTGGGACTCTTTGTCCACTCAAGAGAGTGTCCTCTCTGCCCTCTCGTGACAATAAAGGTGTAACTAAACATCAAAGAACCTACTCCTGTCTTAAATCATCATTTCATAGACATTCCTGCAGTTCTGAAAATTGTTTTGAAGGAAAGCGATGGCTGAGATATCACAGGCTATACTAAACTAATCATGTATTAATACAAAGACTACCCATACATGTTATTACTAGGTATGTTACACTGCAATGGTAACTAACACTCCAACACTGAAGAGATTTTTTCAATCATCATTTCTTTGTCTCTAAGTGTTAGCACAGGCTTATTTGATTTTAGAGCAAATACTTCTTACAGTTGCTACATGCAGTCCTAGGTTATGAGAGTCATTTCCATAAAACGAAGCTACCAGAAAAGAAAAAGACTTTTAAACCTGCCCAACTAGTGTATTCAGGCATAATAGAAAATGACAAACAAACAGAAAAAATCATTCAATTAACAGCAGCTTGTGAGTGCCAATCTTGGAAGGCTGAGGATGAGATTACGAACATTACATTTTACAGTTTTTAGGATTTTCATAATGTTTTACATAAAGGACAAGAAAACAAAGATATACCTGGTCATGCTTAACCTGACCCAATACTAATGCCAAACTACCTGAAACAGAGGTTTATGCACCAGAGCTGTATACCAGGAAGGAGACCAATAGCACATTATACGTCAAGTGCTCTGCAACTACGTGCTACATGTTTATTTTCCCAGGAACACAAATTTAGTAACTACAGCACGACAGTACCTAACGATGGCTGGTCCCTTGTCATCATTGGTGTTGTGAAGGCAGAGAGCTGTCTGGCAGCAAAGAAATTCTCATACCAGAGGGATTCTCTAATGTCAGAACTCAGTTGCTGCGCCAGCTCATGCAGCTAAAGAGAACAGCTGAACACAAGTAAAAACTAATAATGTACAGAAAGGCCTTAGTTAAGTCTGTTGAAACAAGCAGCAGCTCTGTATCACGCTCTGTGTCATTGCTAGCAGGCCTCCCCTTACAGAAAAGGAAAGGCAACACTAAACTGAAGCACTAAGTCCTCAGCTAAAAATGCATTGGACGCCCACTGTCTTCTACCAGTCTTAGCTCAGAAGCTGCCCATTTTCACCATTCTGAAATGGTGAGCGCTGAGGATGTCCTCCAGCATCACACTTTGGCAATCAAAAAGTTGCCCTTTGAAATGATTGTCACCAAGTTAATTAACTGAGCTGCTAAATGATTAGCATGAAAATAATAC